CCAAACACCGTGGTGCTGACTATGCCAGGAGTGAGACCCCAGTCAAGAGAAAACTGCCTTCCGAATTGCATCGTTCTTCCCACAAATCTGCTCCTGTGGCACTGGGATTTGCTTGTGCTTGCAGAGAGTCTGTAGCCAAGCCCCCTCGGCACAATGAGCTACTGAGCTTTCAGCTGCTGACTTGCCAGCCTGTGTGCAAATAACTTCTGAACTGGGATTTAACACACTGGTGTGCTTTAAAATGAAAACCCCAGTAGGATTTTCATGCCAGAAATCCCTTCATTTCTTTTCTGTTAAAAGCCCTAATAACTGCCCTTTTTACGGCTGACATGAGCTGTTCTAGCTTCAAGCTGATCCGTGTTGACATGGCCTCATCAAAGGAATTAAGGGATAAGTGTGTGAAATGCTTTGAGCTTTCCGCTAAGGGCACTGCAGAAGGGCAAAGCCTCTGCTGCATTAAGAGCTAAGGCAGCAGTCTGCACAGATTGCCCCCAGAACATGCAGTCGATGTTTCTGTGCTCGGCATGATGTGGTCTCTGGTGTGAGAAAGCTGCTTTTTTCAAGCTGTGCATACCAGTGAAAGCTCCAGGAGGCTGAATAGATAAAAAACACTTGGGCTAGCAACACTCACTACTTTGGGCTTGGGAACAGAGTCTCATACCTGCTTTTGTAAGCAAATCCCTTAAATGACTATGGACAGGGAAAAGCAACTCCCTGGAGCCCGCTCTGGGCCTAAAATTGCTGCTGCCTGCAGAAAATTCCCACTCTGTGGCACAGTGCTGTCTCGAGCCCACACCTACCTTCTGCCAGCAGCTCCAACGTGCCAGAGTTGCAGCCATCAAACTTCAGCAGGTCCACGCCCCAGGAGGCAAACGTTTGAGCATCCAGGTCATAGTGGTTGTAACTGCCAGGGAAGCCAGCACATGTCTTGTTTCCGACATCACTGTAGATTCCCAGCTTCAGCCCCTTGGAGTGGACCTGTACTTGCAGACAGAAAGAGAACTGGGGATGGGGCAGCTGTGAGATAGGAGGAAGCAAAGCTGGGCTAGCAAGGGAAGCAAAACTCCACTCTGGCAGGCAGGGCCTTAGCTCAGCAGCTACACAGCTGTTCCCCACCTGGCCTTCCCTCTCCTCCCCTACTCCCAGCGTGACTGCAGGTCAGGTCCTCAACTGCCATCACTGCCCTACACAGGCGAGTGGCACTCACGTAGTCGGCCAGCTTGCGGATCCCGCTGGGGAACCGTTTTGGGTCAGCCTGGAGCCTGCCACATTCATCCCGCGCCGGTGCCATCCAGCAGTCATCAATGCAGACAAACTCATAGCCTGCGTCCCTCCATCCCTCGGCAGCCATCACGTCAGCCATCTCCATGAAAAGTCGTTCACTGGGCACGGGGAGACAGCACAACCAGGAAAGAAAGTGGAGACCGTGACAACCCTATTTCTAGCACCGACACGGCAACC